AAAAAAAAAATGTTAACTCTGTTTATTCTCAAAAGTTGGAAAAAGAAACCTCCAGGAAAAAAAATTATACAATCATATTTTTTCGAAGTTTATACTCCTTTGAGTGTTGATAATGACCAAGTAACATGAAGAGTAAAATTGGAAGATATGACGATTGTATCTTTTATTCATTTTTTAAGTCATGTCCTTCAAATATATTACAAGCATTTATGGAATGCTTCTAAATGGTTTTGATTCTTTTATTTTTAAATTTCCAGGGTTGAGGATGCTGTCGTTCGCTACCTGACCAGGAAAAATGCTCGAAGTGATGCTCCTGGAAACATCTGAGAAATTGTGAAATAGCTTATTTTTTGGTGGTGGAGTAGTTTAGTTTTCTGACACCACCTCGAGGTCTTGACCCAACACTGCTAAACTTTCTATTCCATGCTTCATTTATGTTTTGGAGTAGAGTACTAGCAGAGTATATTGACTCAAGAATTGTGATCCCTAGCTCATTTTGGGAGTCCCAGAGCAGTTTCTGTATCTATTGGTTCTCATATGCTCCTCTCGCCCATTCTAGTTTGGTAAATTGAGCCAAGATCAATGAGCTAACAACTAATGTATGTAGCTCCAATATCTTCAAAATGGTATATATGTTTAAGTGTTATGGACTAGATATCTACCTTGTACTTTTTTTCCAGGCATGCAGTTCGGAATGCAAGGCTACATTTTACTGTATTTACCTAATTATAGATTTATCAATTCGTTGTTTGAAGCACATAAGTTCATGGCTCTATCTGATAGTTTGAAGTAATTCATGGCTTGGAGATGGACGAGTTAACAATTATTTGAATGTTTCATATTGCCATGATTGTTGAGATGTCTGCTGGGAAAAATGCTTCTGTAGAATTATCAATCTGTGGATCAACAGGAAGAAAGTATAAACGAATGCTTTTGTTCTCTCAGTGCATTTCCAATAACAGTTTGAAGTGTAAAATCTGAATGCTCTTTGTGCCTGTATCGTCGTGCCAACTGAGAATAAACAGTGGAGTTGAGAATTGGTTTAGTCATTATTTGTGCTACTACGGGGCAACTATTTTGTCTGCTGTAATGTTGTGTATTTATGGTTAAAGGAATTGTTCAAGAGAGGAGACTATCTTTGTATTTGGATATTATTTAACCCAACATATATAGGACAAAAATAATAGTTTATATACTGTGTTATTTTAATAGTAGTTAAATTAATATAAAATGTTCCTAAAGTGCCCTTTATTAAAATTGATATCAAGAATAAAAAGGATCTTGAAACGTAGAATCTCTTTTGAAGATGATGTCATTGAGTGAGGTGAAAGTAGTTGTTAACAGTTGCTTATATTTTGGTCCATAATTTATTAATTTTCTTCCTAAATTTGTGTGAATACATTCTTGTTTTCGTGGGTGTGACGAGAACTGGATAAGCGAGAGAATCGGAAGTGGGACTGTTTTCCTAAAATTTCTTATAATGGTTAGGTCATTTTTGTGAGAATGTGAGATCTTAATTTATTTTTTATGAATTTCAGCTCACGTGATTTTTAAGATGTTAATTAATGTAAGTTTTTCTTTAATGTGAGAGCTTTTCAAGACTCTATTTTAATAATATTTTAAAAACTTAGATTTAAAAAAATATTTTTGAGATAATGAGGCTGATAATAAAAATCATAGTCATGTGATATATGATCTAACTTAAGCAAATTTACTTCCACGAACTCTACTTGAAATGTCATCGTGACGAGTGATTCCCTTACTAGAACTTCCACGATTACCATCACCACGACCATACAAGTGAGAGTAGCTTTGAGTAAAATTTAATGAAAGAGATATCAAACCTTGTGTCTCCTTAACTTATTGCGTTTCATGACAATAAGAAGAGTTTCGATTTAATACCAACTAGTCCATCAACAAAACACTTAAGGGTGTTGCTCCCTCCACCACCACACCTTTCTCCCTCTCATGGTGCAGTGTCGCTCTCGTAGTGAAGTGTGTGGAGTGGTGCAGTGTGTTGCTTCCTCAAGATGCGTATTCAAATAAACCTTCAAATAAAACCCTAAAATAAAAAACGTAACCTTTAAGACATCCTTCAATGGATGTCAAAATGCTTCAACGGATGTTGACATCCGTTGAAGGATTTTGACATCCGTTGAAAGATGTCATCTCCGTTTAAAAGTTACGTTTTTTATTTTAGGGTTTCTTTTATCAGTTTATTCTTTATTTTGGAAATATTTTAATAATTTAATTTAAATGTTTTGATTTATTATTTTTGAATATATTTTTAATGTATTTTAATAATGTAAGGAAAATGAAGAAAAAAGAAACGGAGGAGGAGAAGTGAAACGAAGAAGACAGATTGGATTGCAGAGTAAAACGAAAGAAAAATTATTAAACGAAAATGAGAGATAGAAAGATTGGGTGCAAGAGTAAAGTAGGAGAACTAGGTTTCAAAATAAATTAAAATAGTAAAAGTAAAAAATTTTAATATGAGGATATAGTTGGAATTAAAATAAATTGGAGAGGTGGAGGAAGAAAGGTGTGGTGGTGGAGGGAGCAACACCCAACACTTAATCTTGGGAAGATAAATTCCTAGATTTGGAATTGAGCCCAACTACGNCGTAACTCTGCCGCATATCTCACTTTGCAAAGTCAGCATCCTACATCAGTGTAATCTTAATAATTGACTCAATTTTACAGAAATAGGGACTTAATTGAGATAACCCTGCACAAATAGGGATGTCCGAGATGATTAAACCAATAAACAATAAAACAACTTTCTCATCGACTTCATCTTCTATCTTCAATCCAATTATGACCTAGGATTCATTTGTTTGTATTTTTCAAGGATTTTCGTTCAATTATAAGAATCCTAAATTTTTTAATGATGATTAGACAAGTTTTTTGATAAAAAAAAAATGTTAACTCTGTTTATTCTCAAAAGTTGGAAAAAGTAACCTCCAGGAAAAAAAATTATACAATCATATTTTTTCGAAGTTTATACTCCTTTGAGTGTTGATAATGACCAAGTAACATGAAGAGTAAAATTGGAAGATATGACGATTGTATCTTTTATTCATTTTTTAAGTCATGTCGGCCTTCAAATATATTACAAGCATTTATGGAATGCTTCTAAATGGTTTTGATTCTTTTATTTTTAAATTTCCAGGGTTGAGGATGCTGTCGTTCGCTACCTGACCAGGAAAAATGCTCGAAGTGATGCTCCTGGAAACATCTGAGAAATTGTGAAATAGCTTATTTTTTGGTGGTGGAGTAGTTTAGTTTTCTGACACCACCTCGAGGTCTTGACCCAACACTGCTAAACTTTCTATTCCATGCTTCATTTATGTTTTGGAGTAGAGTACTAGCAGAGTATATTGACTCAAGAATTGTGATCCCTAGCTCATTTTGGGAGTCCCAGAGCAGTTTCTGTATCTATTGGTTCTCATATGCTCCTCTCGCCCATTCTAGTTTGGTAAATTGAGCCAAGATCAATGAGCTAACAACTAATGTATGTAGCTCCAATATCTTCAAAATGGTATATATGTTTAAGTGTTATGGACTAGATATCTACCTTGTACTTTTTTTCCAGGCATGCAGTTCGGAATGCAAGGCTACATTTTACTGTATTTACCTAATTATAGATTTATCAATTCGTTGTTTGAAGCACATAAGTTCATGGCTCTATCTGATAGTTTGAAGTAATTCATGGCTTGGAGATGGACGAGTTAACAATTATTTGAATGTTTCATATTGCCATGATTGTTGAGATGTCTGCTGGGAAAAATGCTTCTGTAGAATTATCAATCTGTGGATCAACAGGAAGAAAGTATAAACGAATGCTTTTGTTCTCTCAGTGCATTTCCAATAACAGTTTGAAGTGTAAAATCTGAATGCTCTTTGTGCCTGTATCGTCGTGCCAACTGAGAATAAACAGTGGAGTTGAGAATTGGTTTAGTCATTATTTGTGCTACTACGGGGCAACTATTTTGTCTGCTGTAATGTTGTGTATTTATGGTTAAAGGAATTGTTCAAGAGAGGAGACTATCTTTGTATTTGGATATTATTTAACCCAACATATATAGGACAAAAATAATAGTTTATATACTGTGTTATTTTAATAGTAGTTAAATTAATATAAAATGTTCCTAAAGTGCCCTTTATTAAAATTGATATCAAGAATAAAAAGGATCTTGAAACGTAGAATCTCTTTTGAAGATGATGTCATTGAGTGAGGTGAAAGTAGTTGTTAACAGTTGCTTATATTTTGGTCCATAATTTATTAATTTT